AATTAACTTTCTTATGTTTCATAGCAGTAAAGGTCAACAGAAGCATGGACAATTTTTGAGTAAAACATGCTTTAAAGGGCAGTTCAAAGAGCCAATATGTGAAAAAGTTGTGTGTGAATGTGTATGTGGTGTATTTGTGTATAGTTGTGTGTATTTCTGTGTGTATATGTGTATATTTGTGTGTATTTGTGTCTATGTGTATGTGTGTGTGTATTTGTGTGTGTATATGTCTATATTTGTGTGTGTGTGTGTGTGTGTGTGTGTGTTGGCAAAAGGAAAGAGACCACTGAGCATGAGAGATTACATTCCTAGCCTTCCTCATCACTTTCCTTTTACTACCTGACGATTCTTCCTCAGTTACTACTCAACAACATACTGTGCTACCAGGTCCCTCGACTGCAATAAAACTACGGTGACCAAAGGAGGAGTAATTCGGGTTTTTTCAAAGGTAGCTGTGCTGAGTAGATAAAGAATTCAACCTTATCCAATTCAGTAGGTAAGATATACTTAGAGTTTCCTAAGTCCTGGTCTAGTACGCTTCCTGTCCATGACTTTCTGAAAAGCCCATGTTTTTATTCCATTTCTATCTTGCTTAAAACAGAATTATAACACGGAATTTCCCAAGTCCTGTTAGCCCTTAAATTCCTATTTTGGTTTAGTCAGAAAGGCAATCTAAATTCAATTAGCAAATGTGTAAGATCCCTAGAGAAAGTTCTTTAATGGAATTACAATGTACTATATTTCCCCATGTATAAGACACACCCTTTTTTGAAAAATTAGGGCTCTAAAAACTGGGTGCATCTTATACAGTGGTTGTATGAGTGCAAAAACAAGCGCAAAAAAAAGCGGGAAATGCAAGTAAAAAAAATCTATAACCACTGTATAAGATGCACCCATTTTTTTGACCCCAAATTTTTTGAAAAAGGGTGTGTCTTATACATGGGGAAATACAGTAACCATTTGAACCCTAGCTTTGGAGTTAGATACATCTGGGTTTCAAGCCTGAATCTATGACTTACTAATTGGTTGATCTTGAAAAAGTTACACAATCTGTCTACATTTCATTTACCTCATTTTAAAATGGGGATAATAATGATAATTACTGGATGGAATGAAGGGTAAGATAACGCAGCGAGCACTTAGCATGATGCCTGGCACGTGATCAGCACTCAATAATAACATTGTTCATTACTGTTGATGCTACTTAACTTTCCCGTAACTTCTTCTATCTGAAAACAAGAGTTCTGAAGCCTGCAAAGCCTTGATCACCACTCTAGCTTCCTATTTAACCATTAAAGCAGATTTCAACAATTAATTAGTAATCAGCAGCCTATGTAGCCATTTAACATACCAAAACAGAGACAAAGAAGAACCCCATGTATACCAATGGGACAACGGCACAGCCGTTTTTAGCCTGTTTTGAAGATGAGGAAGGTCAGAATGTTCTTCCTGTCTACATTTTCCAGTGAAGTCACTTTGTCAGAGTAAAAACACCGATTCTTTTTCAAAAAAGGCAGCTATTAAAGGAACTACCAGTTAGCCAGTCAAATGGCCAACATAAAGAGTCCCTATGTTTTCCCACCATGTAAATTACTTCCCAGTAGAAAAGTTATTGCAGAGCCATAAAGACTCATGAAGCTACTAGGAACAATGTAAGAGCACAGACTAAATTACATAGGGGTCCCTTTTTTTTTTTGATCAATCAACTGATTTATTTAGCCAGATATCGTGAGCCTCAGTTTACTCATCTGCAAAGTAAAGGCATAAAAGCAGATGATGTCTAATGTTTCTTCCCTCTTAAGGAAATTTATCACTTAAAATTCCTTAGGAATTAAAATAAAACACGTTGGAACCAGCTTTGTCTTAATTTTATAGGCTTAAAATTTACCTTTTGATATTTTAAAATATTATCTTAATAAAATAAAAACTTAATATGATCTGAGTTCATATACTGGTCCCAATGACAAGATCATTCCTATTATGACTATTGGCTTTAAATATTCTCATCCAGTGAATGTGGATAAAATAGGCTTTCAAAATTTGTGAGTGAGGGGTGGCCGGTTTGCTCAGTTGGTTAGAGCACAGTGTTCATAACACCAAGGTTGCCGGTTCGATCCCCACATGGGCCACTGAGCTGTGCCCTCCACAACTAGATTGAAACAACTATTTGACTTAGAGCTGATGGGTTCTGGAAAAACACACTGTTCCCCAATTTAAAAAAAATCTGTGAGTGTATCAATCATCAAACTGAGTCTACTTGTTCTGATTCCCTATACATCAAATATCCTTCAGATTTTGATTTGTCTTTTTTAGCTCTCTACAGGTAAATGCAACTGTTCAACTGATGTTTGTAATTAATTATTACAGAAGAATAACTAATTGACATTCTGATTTTAACTGAATAGTTTTGAAAGTGTGGTTTAATGTGAGTTTATCTCTAAGACAGATCTAGTCAAGGGGCAAATACATCAAGTTTTGGAGCCCGCAAGCCTAAGAACCAAACCTTGAGTAAATTCACCATGAGAATCTGTGACAAACACCCTGGGAAGACTTCTAGAAGCCAGCTTGCCAGCCTTTCTTAGGAAATTGGTTTGACATGACAATTGTACGCTTTCTGTGAATTTCTCAGCGATTGGAAGCAAATGACATAGCAGTTCAAAAGTCAAGCTCTAGAGTAGACAGACCCAGGTCTCCCACAATGTGTCATTCTGGGCAAATGATTTAACCTCTTTAAGTCCTTCAGTTTCCTCATCTATAAAGTGGAAGCAATAATATTCCTGCTCCATTGTATTGCTTAATATATACAGGGTATTCAGTATAGTGCATAAAGCATAGTGGATATTCAATAATGTTAAGAAGAAACACAAAGCTAGATTTTAAACCTATAAAATTAAGATATTAATGGTAGTTCCAACTTGTTTCAAGAATATTGGGAAAGTAGTATCTACAATTCAGCTATCACAGCCTCACCTGGAATGTTGTTGAGCAGCAGACATTAAGCCCCCAAAGGCCATCAGCAGACAGAAATACATATGAGCTCACATAGTTACTCATAAAAGAGGCTCTCGCAGCTCTTTTTCTATGTATTTACCATACATAAGTATTCTTTAAAGTGTGGTATCTGGTCTCAGCCTATAGTTGCTTCAATTTGCATATTATGCGACTAAGAAGACACAGCACACATGGATAGCAGCTCGGTACCAGACACCATAACTTGACAACAGGGGTGCAGACCACAAAACCACACACACACACACACACACACACACACACACACACACACACACACACACACCAACTAATAAGCAGAACAACCCATAGTCATCAGTAGGTCAAAGAACCCTATATACAGAAAGAGGTTCTGAAATTATCACTCCACAGCACACTGCAGGAAAAAGTCTGTCTAAAATGTATTTTCTTCCTTGCCAGCTTAAGGAAGTAAATGAAATAGTGTGTGTGACAGTACTTTGGGAAATATAAAGTTCAAAATACAAATATGGTGGTTTTTTTTTCTCCCATGAGGCCCACATCTATTTTATTTACTGCTGTATGTGCTTTAACATAGGCCCTGGCACATCATACGCGTAGCCACTCAATTAATTATTAGCTGAATAATTGAATAAGAACAATTTACATTGCTTTCAATAATTCAAAGTCATTATTAGAGAAAATTATTACTGAACTATACTAGAATTCAGTGAAACCTTAAGAGGCTAAATAGGACTATTTGCCCTTTCACAAAATGGCTATTTCCCCAGATTTCTCACTGAAGTTCTATACATTTAATTGATTGCTTTTTGGTTTTTTTTTTCTACCTCCTTCCTGGGTATTGAGAAATGATTCTTCAAGTAATGGAAAAAAGTAAATTAAAGAAAATTAATGTTAGCAGGGTTTTACTTCTACTCTTGATCTCATTATTCTAAAAGAACACTGATCATTTTGAGCTTGTAGGCAAAGGTTTTATCACCTTTGTGACTACTGTGTGCAGCCTCTGCCCCAGCCTCCTACGCTGGCCCACGACCCCATTCACAGCCTGTCCAGATGTGAGATTAACCTCTTTTTGAGCATCTGATGTCATACTACCTTTGGTCTTCTGAACAAATCCAGTGACTCCCTTTTCTTTCAAATGGATGCGATTCTCCTTTATGTATCTATTTTCCTTGTTTACTGTGACTTGCCTAGTTTTCAAACTCCATACTTGAATTTCTTTTCAAATATAGTTTTGACTTCCTTTAATGTTACGCTTCCTTTTTTTTCTAAATGTATACTTGAATCACGTTTCAAATGTATATTATCCGTCTTTTGAATTTGGTTTACTTATGGGTACAAAGGCATCCTTCTGTGGATCTCAAAATAATTCCAAGATGTGTGTAGGGAGATCTTAGTTTGTACAAGAGGAAACTGTAAAATTGAGGTATAAGAACTGACATGTGGCTGGTAGTTACTCCCTTTATTCTTCCTACAGGCTGATGTCTGGTAAATAGTAAAAGTCATATTTAAAACAATTCCAAATCTGTGGTCTTTTCCCTCCAAAACAAAGTATTTTCTATATCTAAGCTAGGTACCAGGAGTAGAAAATGTGGCACAAACCTGCCATTTTCTATCCCACCTGCTAGGGCAGACAGTGATAATTAATCAGGATTTTTTTTTCCTGCTGAGCCTCGCTGGAGCCTAAGAACCCTTTATAATAAAGTGCATCAACTGATGGGTTTAGTTCAGATTTTGGTTGCTATTTTATTATCATTCAGGCCATGGTTATGATTTGTTCAACAAATATATTGGGTTGTTGGAAAACTCATGACGTACTTTTTCTATGTTTTTTGTTGCAAAAATGTGTCATGACTTTTCTGACAACCCAATACATGAATGGTGATATAAAAAGTATGTTTCTATCCACAGCCGATCAGAGGAAACGGACCTGGTCAGGGCACATGTTTACAGCACCTACCTGGGTGTTCCTGTCATCTGAGCTATCCCCAGATCTCTGAGATGGAAGGAGGCTCTGATTCAGCTGGCTTAGCTCTTCTCTAAGTTTCACAACTTCCTCAGGCTTCAAGGTCAATTGCTGTTCTTCACCTTCCATATCCCAGTTCTGCCGCGAGTCCTCCTCTTTCTGCCTCTCTCTTGGAAAAGTGCCCTCCTTTACTGACTCCTCTGGAATTTGCTTCTGCTTACTTTCTCCTAGTTCAGGACTTGGTGCAAATACAACAATAAAAAACTATCAAAATGTTCATTCTACTAGTTGAACGGGAAGGGGGAAAAATCTACCAGTTAAGAAAGTACCACAAGCAAGATTTTCAACTTGAATCTACAGCACAGCAGTAATCTTCTTCTTATAAGTAAACCTTAAAAACGAATGAGTCCTATTTTTTATTTTTATTATTCACATCAGGAAGATGACCATCATAGACTTTTGTCTATACCCAAACAACTAGTTTAAGTGAGTTTTTCACTATTTTAGCATGGCATTGGGCAGACACAGATTATAAAGATTAAAAAAAAAATCACTCAATAAGCACCAGGCATTTTGGCAGGCACTAGGGCTACAACAGAACATAATCCCTGCCCTAAGGAGTTTACAATTTAGTGAGAAATAAGGATGAGTAAACAAGTGATTAAGTAATAGTGAGTAATCTGAGGCCTGATGGTAAGTAGGCACAAACTAGGCAAGTGTAAAGGAAGGGGTATGTGCATACTTCAGTGTGTATATGCATGTACTCATATGTTGGAGGGTGTGGGTATAGATGAGAACAGGGAACAATAAAGGTGTTCTAGGATGACTTAATAAATAAGATGGCAATTATCCCAAATCAGATGGGTGGGTTTTTGTCAGCTTTGATCATTAATGTCAACTCCTTCTCCGAAAAATGTTCATCTTGGCTATTTCATCTCTATTGCCACTTACTCAATCTAGGCGACTATCTCTTCATCTGTGGTTCCATATCTGGATTAATTGGTCTGTCTTTCCTCTCCTATTCATCTAATATAGATACTAGAACAATCTCCCTCAAACACCCTGTAATACATTCTTCTAGTGCTCAAAACTAGACTTGCTTTTCCCCCTACAACCAACCGAAATGCTGGACCTGGCTTCCTGACTCTTTGCTCTGGGGACCACTATCACACCTGTTCCTCACCGTCTCTCCAATATGCTCTTCCCACTTCCGCAACTAGGTTTCAAGACTGTGAATTTTGGACTCAAAACTCACTCTAAATTCAAAAACAGTTTTTAAGAGGGCATAAAATTCAGGGGCCCAAAAGTGGCAAAACAATCTCCCTCTATGTTAGAACATTTATGAAGATATAAATTTGGCTACACCTAGACAATATTTTCCCAGTTCATTGATGATGTATCCTTTAGTATGGAATATAACTAAAAACTGACAGCTATTGTTTCCTTTTGGTGATCTAGTTTTAGGCTTTTGCCCAGACAAAATTTGAATGCATCTATTAGTTTTTGTGCCAAAACAGAGTAGTGCGTTTTCCCAAGCCTCAAAAGTTCTGATGACCAAGTAGAAATACAAGAGTTAGAGGGCAAGATTCACACACACACACACACACACACACACACACACACACACACACACACACACACAGGTTTTCAAAACAAATATCAGACACAATATTAAATAAAACAGCAAAAAACAAACCTCTTTGCAGAGTATAGTCTTAAATATGTAAAAAAACCCCATATATGTGCACAGAAAAAAGGCAAGAAAGGAAAATGAGGATGTTAACATCTCTCTATGGTGGGAATTATGGGTCACTATTATCTCCTATACTTTCTCATGCTTTACGAATTTTCAATAAAAAGCATATATTTATTTTAAAAAGCAGAAAAAATAGTTTTAAAGTGTAATAATATATCAGAATGCAAAATCTTTGGGGAATGCTTGCTTATAACTAATTTTTCCACTCACA